CCTGGGAGGATGAACTGGCGGGAGACGCCATCCTGGCGGGTTTCCCACAAATGGCTCCTCCCCTGAGTTAGCCTCTTCTTCCTGGGTCTCTCCTGGTTTAGCCTGGGCTGTGGTAAGTAATGGAGCTGTGAGCTCCTGGATGGTGACATGCTCCAGGATCTTGAAGCTGGTGTCCAGTTTCACAGGCTGGCTGCAGCGCTGGCACACGAAGCTCACCTGCATGGTGCTGCTGGACACCTTGGACCCTTCCATCCCTCAGGACCCAGGTCCAATCTATCGTGGGGGCGCTGCGGCCTCGGGTCCACCCCGGAGTGAGGCGTCCAGGTCAGCCATCGCCCAAGGCTGGGTTTCTTTCTTGGGTGACTGGCCCAGTGCTTGCTTCTGCAGCTTAGAGGAGAGCATTGGGATTGAACCCAGGACTTTGCCCGAGCCCCAGCCCCAGCCTTTAGTTATTTTAATTTTGAGATAAATTCTCACTAAGTTGCTTAGTTGTCCAGCCTGGACTCGAACTGGGGACCTTCCTGCCCCAGCCTCCCAGAATGCTGGCATCACGGGCGAGCACCGCCACGCCCAGCTCGGCTGGGTGTTTTGCAGCGTGGTGGCAGGAGACACGCAGCAGACACGCCCAATGTGGTCACTGAATGTCGCACGGGTGTTGGCTGAGTTCATCCGGACAGATGAGGTGGCCATGTGCGTGGGACAGGCAGGGGCGGGTTTGCTGCTGAAATTGGCCAGAGAGGCAGAGGCAGAAGCCAGCTGTGATACCAAGGACCTGGTGATCCCGGCCTAGAGTCCCAGGGGTACGTCCCTGCAGAGAGGCCACGGGGAGACACTGGAGGAAAACCCAGAAATCCGGAGCCTGTCGGAGCTGGAAGGAGAAACACTCATTCAGGGGTTACGGCGAGCCCAGCAGTGTGCATGCGTGTCATTCAGCTTCACCCTTAGGCCAGGGACTCGGAATTATTCACTCAGCACCTTCCATGTGCCGGGTACTGAGTGGGTGCTGGGTATGAGCTGGTAGACAAAACAAACACTACCCTTGCTTTGGTGGAGTTTAGGGTCTGTGGATTGATTCTCATTTTCCAAAGGCTCAGAGAGGTTAAGTAACTGGCCCTAGGTCACACAGCAGGGAGGATTTCCAGGGCTCGGGAGCATGGCCAGTGGCCGAGGACAGCAGGGTGGCTGGCCCAGGCTTGAGGGCAGAGGCTCCCTGGTCCAAGGGCCCAGGGCCGGAGAGCTTGGCCGCCATTGGACAGAAGAGCGCATCTCAAAGATGCATCTTGAGCCTAGGGCTGAGGTGTTGGGGGATGAGCAGGGCTGGGGACCAGCTTGAGTGCCTCCTCTTCATAGCAATAATTTTTTCTCGCTCTCATCTGGGACCCATGGACACTGTACTAAGTTCTCACTAAGTTGCTTAGTTGTCCAGACTGGGCTACTTGGGATTCTCCTGCCTCAGCCTCCTGTTTCTAGTGCATCCTCCAGGTGAGGAGACTGGAACTGAGCATCTTGGACCTGCGTTTGTGGCTCCAGCCGAGTGCAGATTCGCGTCCCCTGGGAGCTTCAAGCCCTGGCTGCGTGCAGACAACGACAGGGACTCCTGGGGCAGAGCCTGGCAGCCTTTCCCAAGACCCCTCGGGTGACCCCAGGTCGCAGGGTCCCGCCGGTGTCTCGCGCAGCTGTCGGAAATGTGGGATCTCGGACCACCCTAGCCTGTGAGTCAGGGTCTCCGGGCCCTGCGGGGGACCCTGGTTTGCAAACATTGGGTGCCACCCGGAAGTAGAGGCCCAGCTGGTCCCCGCCAGGATCTCTAGGTGGCTGGAAATAACCAGAGCAACAAGACATCCATTTAGGGACACTTTTTGAAAAAAAATTAATAAAAGTCCTACTCTGATTTATTAATTACCAAAGTTAGATACTGCAAGTTGGGTTATTCTTCCTTTTCTGGTATGAAATTTCCTCACCTGGATTTCGGAGATGTCAGATGTCCTCTCGCCTCCCTTGCTCTCTTTGTGGTTTTTTTAGACAGGGTCTGGCTATGTAGTCCAGGCTGGCCTCAAACTCATGGAGCTCCTCCTGCCTCAGCCTCCGGAGTGCTGGCATTGCAGACATGAGCTACCGAGCCCGGCCCTGCTGCTGTTCTCACTGGTGTTAAATTTAGCCACGTTGCCCGACTGCTCCCCGCGGGGTGGCCAGCTGGCCGGGGATTATGGGTTATTAAGTCTCATCCAGCCGAGGCTGGTTGTCCTCACTTAAAAACCTCACAGACGCCTGGCGACACACAGGGAAGTAAGTGGACGAGGCGCAGCACGGCGATCCTTTTATTACAGCTCTGTTCTGCTCCCTTGATTGCCTTATCCACCCTTGATTTACCGAGAGATTTTTATTTTTTAGCGGAAGGAAAAAAAAATGCAGGCACCTTCTGTGTATCCATCCGCCAGAAGATGGCTTCCTGGTGTAGGAATGTGCGTCTCAGAGCCGTGTTCCTCTCCCGAAAGCAGAGAGGGTTTCCTGGGAATGACTCTGGACGAAGCTTGGGGAATTCCGTGTCGCTCCGTCCTTGGGCCTTGCTGACCTTTCGGGCTCTCGGGTTCTTTTCCTGGGTGCTGACGTCCCGGGTCATGATCGAAAATAAACTGAGTTTGCCATGGAGCTGCCTGATCATTGTTTAGGTTCTCTTTTTCTCTTCAATCTGTACACTATCTTCTTTTGGTTTTTAAAAAAATGTGTATACACACACACACACACACACACACGCACGCTCTTTGTTTTAGAAACACCTTTTTCATAATCTAGTATTTCTTTTGACAAAAGTAAATAAATAAAGTTTACAAGGGGAACCGAATCCCACTGTCCACAATAAAACCTTCTAGGTTTCAGATGTTCATCAAAGATGTGACCTTTGGAGTCTGCCATAAAGTAGTCCGCCATAAAGTAGTCCGCCATAAAGTAGTCCGCCATAAAGTAGTCCCCGTTCTTTTATTTTGTATTTATTTATTTGGTTATTTATTTTGATGTGGTACCGGAGATTGAACCCAGTGCCTCTGCACTGACAGGGTCTTGCTAAGTTGCCCAGGCTGGGCTTGAATTCCCAACCCTCCTGCCTCAGCCTCCTGAAGTGCTGGGTTTACAGGCAGGTGCCACTGTCTCCAGCTTCAGCAGTGTTGACTGGGTCCCACCTATGCCCCCGGGGGGCCACCCTGGGGACTTGAGGTAGATATGTTTTCCCTAGAGGCTCCAGCAAGTGCTCAGCCAGGCGCTTATGTCCGTAGTCCCAGCACAGGGAGGCTGAGGCAGGAGGATCACCGTGAGTTCAAGACCAGCCTGGGCTACGTAGTGAGCTCCTGTCTCAAAAAAACAAAGACAAACAAGAAAAGAAGGGTTCGGGCCTCCAAAATGAGTGGGAAGTTTGGAAACCAAAGCCAAGCTATTTAAGTCACCCACAGTGCCACCCCGTAGAGGTGATGGTTGTTAGTCAAGCATAGTGGCCCACTCCTGTGAGCTCCTCCTGTGAGAAGCTGAGGCAGGAGGATCACAAGTTTGAGGCCACTGTGGATACGTTCTCAGAATGAAAAAAGGGGCTGGCCCATGCCAACCAGGTACAAGACCCTGAGTTCCATGCCATCGTTCTATCGACTGAGTTCTTTTATTGAGTTCAATCCCAAAGTCAACATGACCTCCTTCTAGGTCGTACCCTTTGCTGGGCGAGGAGGTCAGGGTATTTATTGTCTGATTTCTGTAAATTCTTCTTCTCTATCATCTTCGGCCGTTTGGGGCCTCTGCTTTTCCTTCCTAGTACACAGCACAGACATCAGGAAACCCTTGAGCCCCACAGGCAGAGGTGGGCAATGCTTGGGCAGAGCTGGCTGGTGTTCAGTGCCCAGGGCCACTCACCGAGCCGCTGTTCCCGGCATCCCTGGCCCTCACCTGCGTCACTGTTCCCCAACCTCCCCGAGGGCCCCACGGATGGGGAGGAGGGGCCAGCGCGGGGCTGCCTGTCTGTCCTTGGCCAGGGTCCTGCTCCCCTGGAACGAGCCCGACCGGCAGGCAGAACTGACCCGGGCCAAGGCCAGTGTTTCTCTTCCAAGACGGAAGTGGGGGTTGTGCCCTGTGCTGGGGCCACCTTCCCACCTCGGGAGGGACTGGGGACGCTGTCCTCCACTCAGGGACAGAGGAGGGCATGGCTGGAGGGCAGCAAGGCTGGGCCAGGCCCCAGTGCTTCTCAGTCCCCTCCTAGGCCTGGGAGCTCCAGGGGGGCTCCACACAGAGCTGGCCCGGTCCAAAGGTTCTTCAGGGTTCTTCCTGAAAACCAGTGGCAGGAGGAGGAAGTTCACGATGCCAGGGTGTGGGCCTCAGTTCGGGCCTCGGGCTCTGGGCTGAATCCAGGCTGTGCCTGTCCCAGTGGGTGCACCGTGGCCAGCAGGGGCTTCAGCCCTCCGAGTGTGGGCATCTCCCACAGTTACGGGGGCATGAAACAGACGGCAGAGCCCCACTGTTTTCTGATCCCATCCTCACTCAGGCAAACGGGCCGGACCCTCCAGGCGTACAGACATCCCCGTCCCTGACTGCACACTGATGACCCAAGACCCAGGCCCAGGCGCCTCAGGCTGCACCGAGGTTGGCAAGGGGCTGTGCCACCCAGAGGTCCTGAGCGGGGGTCTCCTCTGCCCCTCACAGCCCTGGCCGGCAGCCCCGGGGGCCCGCCTGGCCCATGTTGAGGCTGCCGGTTGCCAGGATTCGATGTGGGTTTGTCTGCCTTCCCCAGCCCATGCCAACCCGCCCAGCAGGCCCCACTGCCTTGGCGACGCATCACAGAGTCCACACAAAGGGAGGCTGCACTGCCTGCTGGGAGGCTGGTGCTGCCTGGTGTCTCCATGGCAACGCTGACATCACGGGGCCGGCTGCAGTAGGGCCCCAGGGGAGGCTCCCAGTGTTCTGGGGAGGAGGCCGGGTGGGTGGGCCTGCCTGCCCTGGGTCTGGGGGGGTCCTGACCCTGCCTGTCCCCACCTTGCCCGGGGCCCGTCTGAGACGCTGTCTCCTGACCCATAACAGAGAGGGCAGTCTTCACCCGGGACTGACTGTGATCATGGATAAGATACAGGGAGGGCTGTCGTGAAGACCATTCTGGTGACTTCCAGGGAAAGGCAGGGGCGGCCTGCACCCCTGGACTGCCTGGGCCCGTGATGTGAGCTCTAGCAGGGGGCTTGGGATTTGGGGAGGGGAAGGCACAGTTACGGGGAGGAGTGGGGAGACTTTAGGGGCTGTAAGTGGCTCAGAGCTTTTTGGCTCCCTGGGGAGCGTCCCTCCTGGGATGGCTGCCTCCCTCTCCTCATTGCAGGGAGGTGGGTGACCCATCTGCCCCTGACCTGGGTCACCTCCCTCATCTCAGGAGGCTTTGCATCCCTACTGTCCCCGGCCTCTGGGAAGACCAGGGTGCCTCGGGGCCCCTTGCCAGGCTGGGAGAGGCTGATTGCCCGGCGCCTGGGCCTTTGCCCCTCTTGGCCACAAAACCACTGCTCCCATAGCCTCCTGCTCTGCTGGCCCACGCCGCACCATTGTTTGGCTTCAAACCGGTTCTGGAAGGGTGGTTCGTCCAGTGTCCTAGGGTGGCAGAGTCACCCATCAGGTGTCCCAGAGGAGGCGGGCACCTGGGGACAGGAGGGCCAGAAGGCACAGTGGGGAAGAAGTCCCTTCTGAGACGGAGTCAGGCAGAGCTGGTGTCCCCAGAGACGCTCGAGGAGCCGCGGGCACCTCCCAAGGCCGCTGACCTGCTAGAGGACTGCAGCCTGGGCATGGGGACCGGCCACACCCTTCCCCTTTGCCCCCATCCCACTCCTCAGGAGACAGAGGCGTCCTTCCACCCCTGCCCTCACGAGGGCCCCGGGGTCTGAGGCCCGGCAGTGCTCACCCATTAGGTCACTGTCCCTTTGAAAGACCGATGCAGAGAGTACCAATCAGCGACATGAGGCACAAGGGCTTCTGTCCCTGCCCCTCTCTGGCCAGGTGCCTCTGCTCTGACCAGAAGCCCTACCCACCCCGGGCAACTCAGGGAGACCATGAAAACATTTTATAAAGCCCTCAGAGTGGTGGCCCTCACCTGTCATCCTAGCACTCTGGAGGCTGAGGCGGGAGGATCACTGGGAGTTGGAGGCCAGCCTGAATTGCATACTGAGACCCTGAATCCAAAAAATTAAAAAATAAAATTAAAAAAGCGTTGGGGATGTAGCTCAGGATGAATACATAGTACTGAAAAAGAAAGGAAGGAAGGAAGGAGGGAAGGAAGGAAGGAAGAAAGGAAGGAAGGAAGGAAGGAAAGAAAGAAGGAAGGAAGAAGCCTTACTCTCAAAGTGGCTGTTGCCACTTCCAGAAAAGCCCTTCCACATAAGTCCTTAGCCCCCAAAAGCCCACCACTGGCACTGAACTGTGGGACCCAGGGGCCGTTTCCCCAGAGGACAGGTCAGTCCTGGGGTGAAAGCCTGGGAGCCCCCGTTCAATGTCCTGGACACCCTGGCCAGTGACCCGGGACCAGGCCTGGTGTCTGTGTACCCAGAGGCTGGGGTGGGGCAGGCGCGAGCCCGTGGGACCACAAAACAGAGGAGCAGTCCGGGGGTCCTGGGGCCCTAGGAGCCCAGCTGAGGCCCCCCCATGCCCACCCACTGTTCCTCTTTCCTGGACTCAGTGACTTGGGGTGGCCTCACCCTCTGCCTCAGTTGTTCCCTCCGTAAAATGGGCACAGAGCTCTCCGGTAAGAAACCTCCCACTGAAAGGCCTGGGTGGCTGGGACCTCTGGCAGTAGCCCTGCCTCTCGCCCTGCTCTGACTCCTAGGGAGGGGAAGGACGTGGAATAAAGCAAAGTGGATCCCGGCCTTCGAGCCTGGGACTGAGAGTCTCCCTCTCTCCTCTGGCATGGCTGGCCCTTGGCTCCCCGTGGCTTTGGTACAAACAGCAAGGACAAGTTACCATTTAACTAGAGCTGGAGCCTGGCCAAGCTCTCCAGCCAGTGGCAAACCTGCAGGACCAGTTCGCAGGGATGAAAGGGCTCCTGGAGAGGTGGGGAGGGAGGGGAGGGCCAGGGCTGGGGCTCAGGGGAGAACACAGATGGTCAAGGGGTGAGCGGCAGGGTCCCCCCACCGCAACTGAGCCAGATGAGCCCCAGAAACCCAGGGGCACTGGGGCGCCAGGCTGGGAGGTCAGATTCGGCACCCAGACCCCTGGACTGAGCGCTGGAAGTGCAGGAGGGGCCTTGGGGATTGACGAGTGTGGGGAGAAGGGGAAGTTACAGTTTACCACTCTTTGAAAAAAAATTCTGTGCCTAAAGTGAGATCAGATTATATTCATTTGTCCTTCTTTTCTTTTTCTTTTTTGAGACAAAATCTCACTACGAAGCCCAGGCTGGTCTGGAACTCTCAGTGATTCTCCCACCTCAGCCTCCTGAATGCTAAGATGACAGGTGAGTACCACCACACCCAGGAGTGTTCCTTTCTTCTTGTCCAATAACAGTCTCCCTTCCTGTCATCCCTTTAGATGCCACATATTAGGGAGAACACACCACCCCTGTCCTGTGTCTGCCTTATTTTGCTCACTGTGATCTCCAGATTCATCCATTTGTCTGCAAATGACAAATTTCATTCTTTTTTATGGCTGAGTAATACTCCATTGTGTATATATACTTTTTTTTTTTTTTTTTTTTTTTTTTTGGTACCAGGGATTGAACTCGGGTCCTTGCGCTTGCGCAGCAGGCAGCAAAACCACTGAGCTAAATCCCCGGCCCAATATACCATTTTTTATTTATTTATTTATTTATTTATTTTGGTACCGGGGATCAAACTCAGGTCCTTGTGCTTGCGAGGCAGGCGGCGGAACCACTGAGCTAAATCCCCGGCCCAGTATACCATTTTTTATCCATTCATTGGTTGATGGGCACCGGCTGGTTCCACATCTTGGCTCTTGTGAACTGTGCTGAGTAAATGGCATATAGGTGGCCCTCTGTTGCTGACTTTATATACCAGGGAGTGGCACAACTGCATCAAATGTGGCTCTGTTTTCAGCTTTCTCAGGAACCTCCACACTGATTCCACAGTCCTTGTCCTACCTTACATTCCCACCAGCAATGTCGAAGGGCTCCTTTTCCCCTGAACCCTCACTAGCACTTGGTTTTTGTGTTCTGGATGACAGTCATTTTAACGGGTACGACAGATTCTCAATGTTGTGGTTTTTTGGGTTTTGGAGACAGGGTCTCCCACGTAACCCAGGCCGGCCTTGAACTCACGGTGATCCTCCTGCCTCAGTCTCGAAAGTGCTGGGGTTCCAGGTGTGTCACACCGAGCCTTATTGAAAAACAAATATAAAAATATCTCATTAATCTTTGTGTAGATTCTATGTTGAAACTGTTCTAGATATATTAGGTTAAGCAAAATCTGTTTCTTTTCTTTCTTTTTTTTTTTTTGAGACAGAGTCTTGCTGTGTAGTTCAGGCTGGCCTTGAACTTACTATGTAGCCCAGGTTAGCTTTGAATTTATGATGATCCTCCTGCCTCAGTCTCCTGAGTCCTGGGATTACAGGTGTGTGCCGCTACACCTGGCTTAGCAAAAAGCAAAATCTATTTCTAAAATTAATTTTACTTGTTTGTTTTTTTACTTCTAAAAAAATGTAGCTGCTAGAAATGTCTCCACTCTCTATGCGGCTTGTTGTAGATTTCTGTTGGACATGGGCTCTGCGTAGATCTGCACTGGACAGCCAAAGTTGAAGCAGGTACACCACACCACAGAGGCCGGACGGGCACAGGCCCCAGGAGCCCTGGGCTGGCCGTGGGGGCCTCGTTTTGCTCAGGAGGCCAATGTGCTTTCCCACCTCCGGTCAGGGGTCCACTCTCTGGTCCTCCAGACACACCTGGACCCCTTCTCTGTGCCAGGAGAGGGGTCATAACATGGGGGTGCGTACGGGAGCTGGGCTCTTCCAACCACTTACTACCTGCCCAGGGCTGGGAGGGTGACATTTGCTCACTGGAAACCTCCGCTATCTCCCTGCACAGCTGGGAGTTGTCAGCCTGCAGCTGGGGAGGGGACCACCCCGCTTATCTGAGAGGGAGAAAATGCCAAGCGCTTCAGTGTAGGCGGCAGGTAGCGACCCTTCCTCCCCCCACGCAGAACACAGAATCCAGGGTGTGACTATTTCCGAGCTTGCAATGTATGGGGGCCAAAAATGAAAACAATAAAACAGCGTCCCCTACAACCAGGCGTGTGTATGAGCACGGAGGTGGCACCAAACTGATACGATTGCACGTAGTAACACGCTTAACTGATGCGAAAACCCCCAAATTGTTGGAAGATCAGTACCTAATTCATCTTTCGACATTGGCTTTTGCAAATCCAGAGGTGGAGGGGGCGGGAAGCTCCCAGTCCCTCTGAAATCTGGCCTCGGGCGATAACTGCATTGCACAAAACACTTCCCCACCTCTGCCTCCTAACTGAGAAAAAGTGGTCAACAGTGAAAGACTCCAGAAACCCACAGATTTCGAAGTACGAGCGCCCGCGCTGAGAGTTCGCTGTTTTAATCAAATAAAACCCACAACAAAGTTAATCTGACACATAGTTAATGAGATAATCATTGTTGCACTTCATGGGAATTAGGCATTAATGGGAAGCAGTTTTTATAAATGGTGGTAATTATATTGTTGCCTTTCCTCTGCCAAAATGGAGAAGTTTTTTCTTCTCCTCACGTGACTTCCCTTGAGCGTGCCGTGCCGTCCGTCTCCAGGACGAAATTTCTTGTGGTTTTTGAGTCATTTCTTCACGGTCGCAGCCCCACCCGCCCCTGCCCAGACCACAGACAATGAGCACCTAGGATGTGGCAGGGTGTGAACAAAACCCGGCTGCAGCCTCGCCCTGTGCCCGCTGGGCTCTGTGCTGGACCTGCTACTCTCTCTGCTCTCTGGGGACCCCCATGGGGGGCAGTGGGGACATCAGGCCCTGGGCTTGTCCAGGGTGACCTTGGCTGTGTGGCTAGGAAGGGGGATCCCGGCAGCATAGACCTGAAGCTGCAGGGACCAGAGTCTGAGCTGCAGAGTCCCTCTCTGCTGGTGTCACCCAGACGGCCACTGAGCCCTCCGAGCCCCACCAACCTCATGCAGGCAGTGGGGAAGACCCCAGTGTTCCTTGAGGCTGGAGCCAGCAGTGTTTGTGCAGGCCAGGGGCGGGGCACAGGTGCTGTGGCAGGAGGGGGAGCGCAGCCCTGGGGTGGTCCAGCTCCCGGACTGGTCCAGGTTTCCAGGGCAGAGAGAACCTCAAAGCCTGAGAGCCCCCCCGGGCCTCTCGGGTCACAAGGGTCACCCCGAGGCCCAGCCATGGCTGCCCAGCCGTGGGGAGTCGGCCAGCAGGAACCCCTCGAAACGCAGAGGGGGTTGCTCAGAGGCTGCAAATGTGTCCAAGACAAACTCCTGCCAACTGTAGCCCAGTGCCCCAGGTCTGGCCTCTCCGCCGTCAACAGCCAGGCACAGGGAGGCTGCGTGCAAAGGAACTGTGTGTCCCTGTGGCCGGGTGCCAGCAGGGAGCTCTCTGGAGGCTCAGGACAGACTTCGAACTCCCATGACAGCCTCTGACATGGCAGGCGCTGTCCAAGAGCCACCTGGGAGCCTGCTTAGGACCAGAGCGGGTTTGTGCTCAGCCTCTGTGTCAGACAGGGAGCCCTGGGCCCAAGCAGCTTCTCAGAGGCCTCTAGGTGCGCCACCATTGTGGCTGCAGACAGCGCTGAGATCCAGAGTCCCAGGTTGTAAGCTGGGCGTGGTGGGGCACACCTATGGTCCCAGCACACTGGGAGGCTGAGGCAGGAGGAGCTCGAGTATGAGGACATCTTGGGCAACTGTCTCAAAAACTAAAGAGTTGAGGACAGTGTCCATTACAAAGGCCCTGGGTTCAATCCCCATTACTGAGAAAAAAAGAGTCACAGGCCTAATCAGCTACCTTTGGGGTTGAGCTCCCAGTCTGCCTCTTTCCAGCGGCGAGGCAGCCAGGGTGAGCTACTCATGTTCTGGGAGCCCAGTTTGCTCATCTGTGAAATGGGGCCACTGCTGGGCCTGCTGCGAAGCCAGGGGCGCCTGCTGAACAACACAGTGACTCAGACACCAGCCTGTCAATGCCAGCCATCCTCAGCCACAGTATAAAGATAGTGCTGATTCCGTCCAGAAATACCTGCTGGCCATCGGAGGCAGGCTGTGCTGGGGCAGGGAGCCCCGGGGGAGAGAGGTGACTCAGGCAAGCCCCGCCCTGCCGGAGCCCATGCACAGGAGCAGCCCTGAGCCGGGACTGCAGAGAGCCGGGCCAGGAGGTGGCCAGGTGCTGGGGAAGGCTACCAGGAGGAGGCAGCATTGGAGCTAGCCTGGGCGGAGGCCAAGAGGGGATCGGGTACAGCGGCAGAGGTGACAAGTGTGCGAGCTTGGGGCACACGGAAGCCCCATGTGGCTGCAGGGCAGTATCCCACGGGACAGCAAGGAGGAGACACCTGCCAGGTCTGCCTCGCTGTGTGACCTTGAGCCAAGCACCCTGGTCTTTGAGTCTGTTTTCTCTTCTCCACCCTGAAGAGCTTCTGTTACCCGCTCTCTTCCCTCTCCCATCATCCCTCCCTCAACATTCCACGCCTTTGCCTGAAAAATTCATAGAAAGATTTTGTTTATTTGTTTATTTTTGAGACAGGGTCTCAGCTATGTAGCCCGAGCTGGCCTCGAACTCATGGTGATCCTCCTGCCTCAGCCTTACAGGCGCACACCACCACTCTCTCGCAGAAGGTTTTGCCCAAGGCTTTGAACCAGTGCAGGGGACGAGAAAAAAAGCCCCTCTGGCTCCAATGCAGTAGGCTGCTGGGCCCAGGATGGCTGTGAGACCTGGCTGAAGGTGGAGGGGGGACCCCAGAGCCCTGGTGAACAGGTGTCCCAGGGGCTGAGGGGACGGAGGAGCGGGTGATCGATTCCCTGGCCCAGACACACAGCCTGGGTATCAGTGGCAGGAGCAAGGCTGGGAGCCCAGACACGGGCACCCCTCCCTAGGGTCGGTCTGAACAGGTGGTGGTGCCAGGGGGTCGAGGGGACCAGATCTCCTCTGAACCTTTAGTTTGCGCTCATGCGCCCTCGCCCAGGCACCTGCTGTCTTCACCAGCCTCTGCTTCCTCTGCGGTCCTACCTCTGAATTCCGGTGTTCACCAAGGGCTGGGCAGGCAGCGGCGGGCAATGGGAAGTGGGGACGGGTCTTCCGGCCAGGCCCAGGGAGGCGGGGACTGATGATTGAGCGATGTGTTAGCCAATGGAACACGGGCAGGCCTACTAACCCAGAAACACAAGAGTCCGCCCTTTCTTGGCCCTGCCCCTACAAGGGGTCTTTTTTTTTTTTAACAATACATTTATTGGTACATTTTAGATATATATAATGGCTTGGGGTTTTGGGTGGGGGGTTGTGTTTTTTTTTTTTTGGTACTGGGGATCAAACTCGGGACCTTGCGCTTTCGACGCAGGCGGTGGAACCACTGAGCTAAGTCCTCGGCTCTTCTCTCTTTTTCTTTCCCACTCCTCCCTCCCTTGTTCCTCTCCTCGTTTGAACATTTTTCCATGACTGTTGTACATTTTAGCCCTCATTTCCATTTTCGGTTTCTCACACCAGAGAAACAATGCGGTAAGTAAACGTGTTTGATTTATTTCACTTGAGTATGGTCTCAAGGTCCATCCATTTAGCCATAAATGTCTCAGCTCATCCTTCTTTATGGCAGAGTAGTACAGTACTGTATTTTTAAAAACACCCACATCTTTATCCATTCGTAGGTTGATGGGCTATTGGGCTGTTTCCAAGATTTAGCTATTGCAAATTGTGCCGCTATAAACATGGGTGTGCATATATCACTGTGGTATGATTCTTTTATTCTTTCCGGAAGATACCAAGAAGAGGTATAGCTGGGTCAAATGGAACCTCTTGTTTTAGTTCTTTGAAGAATCTCCACATTGATTTCCACAGTGGTTGCACCAGTCTGCACTCCCACCAACAACGGTGAAGGTTTCCTTTCTGCCCACAGCCCCACCACCATTTATTATTGGTTGATTTCTTGATAGCGGCCATTCTTTCTGGAGTGAGGTTGGAATCTCAGCGTTATTTTCATCTGCATCTCTCGAATGACCAGTGATGTTGAACATTTTTCATATATTTATTTCCTGTTTCTAATTCATCTGAGAAGTGTCTTTTCATTTCAGATGCCCATTTTTGGATTGGGTCTTTAAATTTGAGGGGTCTGATTTTTTAAGTTCTTTATATATTCTAGATAGTAGTGGGCCGGGGATTTAGCTTAGTGGTTCTGCCACCTGCCTTGCAAGCGCAAGGACCCGAGTTCGATCCCCAGTACTAAAAAAAAAAAAGAAAGAAAATAGATAGTAGTCCTTTGAGGAACAGCTGGCAAAACAGCTGGGTTGTCTCTTCACTCTGTTGATGATTTCTCTCTCTGTGCAAAAGCTTTTTAATAAGATGAGATCCCAGTTGTTGATTCTTTGTGACATTTCCTGTGCAATTGAGATTTTGTCATAAACTCTTTGCCTACACCAATGTCTTCGAGAGTTCTGCCTATTCCATCTTCCAGCAGATTTAGTGTTTCTGTTTTAATATTTAGATCTTTGATTCATTTCAGTTTTTTTTGTTTTTAAACCGGGGATCAAACTTGGAACCTTGTGCTTGTGAGGCAGGAGGCAGAACCACTGAGCTAAATCTCCAGCTTTCAATTTTAATTTAGTGTATGGTAAGAGATATGGGTCTAGTTTTAATCTTCGGCAAGTGGAAACTCAGATATTCCAGCACCATTTTTAAAGAGGCTACCTTTCTTCCAGTGAGGGTGTTTGGCTTCTTTGTCAAAGATGAGGTGGCTGAGTATGTCTGGAGTTGTTTCTGCATCTTCTAGACTGTTCCATTGATCCTCAGATCTGTTTCTTTGACAGTACCATGTTGTTTTTATCACAGTAGCTTTGTAGCATAGTTTCAAGTTGGGGATTGTGATACCCCCCTGCCTTGTCTTTATTGCCTAGAATTGCCTTTGCTATTCTAGGTCTCTTCTCGTTCCAAGTGAATTTTAGGATTGTTTTTTCTAATTCCCACAGCTTCCTGGTCCTTGATGCAGACCAGAAAAAAGGAAGAGGAGGAAGAGAAGGAGGAGGAAGAGGAAGAAGAGAAGGAAGAAGAGGAAGAAGAGATGGAAGAAGGGGAAAGGAGATCTGGAGCTGTCTCTTTAAATCTTTCTAGAAGTCCAACAGAAATAGAACATTTATCTGTGTGAAGGCTACACAGGCTTAACTAAAAATGTCAAGTTTCTTTGCTGGAATTTTAACAGGGAACATGATAAGTGTACATTTATTCAGTAATGATCAATTCCGGGTTCTCTTTTGTATGAGATGAAATGGTGACATGCTGCTCAGAAGCTCTGCTTGGTTTTGTTTCATACAAAATCACCTCTTGAAGTTATAATTGCTGGATGAATGTTATCTGATTGTCCTAAACTCTTGCTCTTCTCTCTGTGTTGTGTGCCCTGGGGAGAGGCTACAAAGATGGGATAATAAAAAAGTAAAATGTTTGCTTTAAAAAAAATTTTTTTTTTAATTTTTTTTTTTAGATAGGGTCATGGTGGCTCATGCCTGTAATCCCAACACTCAGGAGCCTGAGGCAGGAGGATTGCTGTGACTTCAAGGCTAGGCTGGGCTACATAGCAAAACCCTGTCCCCAAACAAAACAGGCCAAGGATTTAACTCAGTGGCACCACACCTGCCTTGCAAGTGCAAGGTCCTGAGTTTGATGCCTGGTACCAAAACAAAACAAAACAAAAAAAGGAAGGATTAGAGGTGTGGGCCACCACACCTGTATCTGTATTTTACAGATGAGAAAACTGAGATCAAGGGGTCTGATCAGCTCAAGGTCATGCAGTGAGGTCAAGGTCATCTGGCGGCAGGGACCGGACCCCAGGCTTCTTGGTGTCCTGGGTGTGGAGCAGGTAGGGAGGAGAAAGAGGTGACTCTTTAACTCACTCTGTCTCTGCAGGTCGGGGCCACCGGCTGCCCGGGAGACAGGAGAGGGGACCCCTGGGAACGGACAGCTGTGTGTGGGAGAGAGCAGGTGGCAGAGCAGGTGCAGGTGACAGCAGGGACCAGGAGGATGGGATGGCACAGAGAGGAGCTGGCGCCCCTGCGGCCCTGAGATTCTGTAGGGCCCTAGACCCTGGCCAGGCTGGGTGCCTGGGAACCGGACTCCAAAGGGCCCTGAGTGGCAGAAACAGGAGGGTCTGAAGGGGACACGGGGACCAAATTCCTGGCGCCCAGGCCCTTGAAGAAGAGCCCTGGACTGAGTTCAAATCCTATGCTCAGGTCTGCTCCTGGCCGCTCTGAGGCTGCGGAGCAGAGCTCTCCGGACTGGGGCAGGGCTGGGGCAGGGCCCTCACTGTGTCCACCCTGGGGTCACAGTGCAGGCCGGTGCCTCCCACCCCGGCTGCTGGCTGGACTCGACTTGGGCACTGGCTGGCCCCTCTGGTCCTGCCCCAGGGATGGGCCCAGGCCTTCTGGTTCAGCCAGAAATTCCAGCCCTGGTGGGAGCCAGCTTGGTGGTGACTGGGTGTCTCGCTCCCCTGGCCCCTCCTGTGACCTCTGGAAGGGCGGGGCCTACAGTCACCACCGAGGAGATGAGCTAGGCAACCCACGCAGGCCTTGGGATGGGATTGTGTTTTAAACCAGCTTCACTGAGGTCTAATTTATGCCTAATAAAATGTCCTTGTTTTAGGTGCTGCTGTTCAGTGCATTGATCTTGCATATGCTGCGTGCCCACCTGGCCATACATCGGGAGAACATTTCCCTGAGAGTCCCTTGTGCCTGCCCAGCCCCTCACTTCCTCCCTGGCTCCAGGCCGGTCAGATTTGCCTGCTTCATGAGTTTCACAGCGGAGTTTATTCTCTTGCACCTGAGGGGTTTTTTGCTTGTTTGTTTGTTTGTTTGTTTGCTGTACTGAGGATTGAATTTAGGGCCTTCACACTGAGCTGCATCCCCATCCTTTTTTTATACTTGTACATTTTGAGAACAGGTCTTACTAAATTGCTAAGTTGCCAGGCTCAAACTTGGCTCAAACTAAAGCTAGGCTCAAACTTGCAATCCCCCTGCCTCAGCCTCCCAGAGTGCTGGGGTCACAGGTGTGCACCAACGCACCTGGTTTGACTTTTTACTCAGCATAAGGATTTTGAGATTTATCCCTGTCATTGGATCTATCATGGATCTATCCTTTTCACTGCAGAGTAATATTCCACAGTGTAGACTCACATTGCCACGATCTCTGTATCTCATAGTTTGTTTATCCATTCATTTGCCTTTGGAATGTTTGGCCCCTTCCAGATTATGGCTGCCATGAGCAATTCACCCTTGAACATGGGTATAGGAATCCTTGTGTGGACATGTGCTTTCACCTCTCTTGTGTTAGTAACTGGAAGGAGTGTGGGGGATGCTGGCCATATGGTAAGTGTATGTTCACTCCTCAAGAAACTGCCAGCCTGAATGGTGGGGCACACCTGTCGTCCCAGCATTTGGGAGGCTGAGGCAGGAGGATCACCACAAGTCTGAGACCTGCCTGGGCTCCATCGTGAGGACATTAGTGACAGTCAGCCTTGCTCCTGCAGTCACAGCACAGCAGGTGCCCGGGAAGCAGGCGGAGGGGTCTCTGGGCCTCCTGAGAAACACCCCGCCCCCCACTGCCACCCCCTAATGCTCTGACCTTTGCCAGCCCCAGACCCCACATCCCAGGCACATGGCCCCTCAGGGTGAGCAGCAAGTTCCTCTGGGGTCTGGGGTGATTGTCCCATGTCCTGGCTGGTCCTTGTCAGTTATCCGGCTCTAAACTCCAGGCTCTGCCACCCGGGCCTGGCCCTGTGGCATAGGGTCCCGTCCAGCCCGGCAGGTCTCTAGTTCCGGGATGGGCACCCCAGGGCTGTGCCTGGGACCCCGGCGTGGGTGTGGCCTCCAAAGGGGCAGTGCCTGGTCCATGCCAACATCTATGTGCACCCAGCCGAGGAGCCTGCGAGGGGTGACAGGATGACCGAAGGAAGCAGGGCCTCCAAGGCCGGTGAGGTATGGGGTCCATGGGCCTGGCCCCTGCATGGCGGATCGGCCTGTTTCCTCCTCCACTTCGGTGCAGTCCACCCTGGTGATGTCCCCCCATTCACACCGGTCCTTGTGGGTCATGGGGCCTTGCACATTCTTCTTTATGTCTTTTTTCTTTTCTTTTTTTCTCTGTCTTAGAACAAGGTCTCACTATGTACCCCAGGCTGGCCTCAAGTCACAGCGATCCTCCCAACTCAGCCTCCCGAGCGCTGGCATGACAGGTGTGTGCCGCTACGCCCCGGCTTCAATTCTACTTCCTTAGGGGCGGGGATTTAGCTCAGTGGTTCCGGCGCCTGTCTTGCAAGCACAAGGTCCCAAGTTCAATCCCCGGTACCAAAAAACAAAACAAAACAATTCTACTTCCTTAAAACACTTCTCCATCCAGTGCCTTCTTGGGGGCTGTGTATTTCTGGCCTGACTTCCTGTCCTTACTCTCCCCTGCCTGTCCCTCACCCCCATTACTGAATAATAAAACACGAATCTCTGCTCCTCTTCCATTTCTCACCAAAACAAAACTTAGTTCTGAAGTTTAGCCCCCTGGGATTTGCCCATCTGCCGCCCCCTTTCCTGCTGCATCCCCCACGGGCTCTGAGAGCTGCCACTCAGAATGTAATGCTGCCCCTCTGCGCCCGTTTCCACCTCTGAGTCCTGCGTGTCCTGTCTCTACTGCAGAGACCATTGTCCCAACAAAGCCCAGGAGCTCCTACCTGGCCTGTAGGCCCCAGCTAAACTGTCCCCTCCTCTGTGACTCCTGTGAGCTTGGCTAGCCATGGAACACCCCTCTCTAGCTGGACATTTTGTGCACCTCTACCATCCCAATGCTCAGGAAGGCTGGCTGAGGCAGGCGGATCCCACATCTGAGCCCAGACTGGGCAACTTTGCAAGACCCTGTCTCAATATTAAAAATAAAAAGGGCTGAGGATGTAGCTCAGTGCTAAGGTCCTGGGTTCAATCTGTAGTACTGGAAAAAAAAATCTCCTCTTAGATTTCTGTTTTCCTTTCCTTTCTGCTGTTGCCACTGAATGCCTGAGTCAGGGTCATTTACGTAGAGAGAAGGTCATTTTTCCACTGGAGCCTGGGAAGTCCAAGGTTGGCAGCTGTGCCTTGAGAGACCCTGGCTCCTGCTTCAACCCATGGCAGGGAGCAGAGGGGTGAGTGGGTGCTGCCAGAGAGATCTGAGGGGGCTCTGTCCCTGAGCACCGACCCACACCTGGCTAAAACCTGGGCACAGTGACCATGACAGCTGTGGAGCCTCAGGCGGGTTACTCACCCTCTCTGTTTGCTCATCTGTGAAGGTGCCATGAGCACAGTTCCTGCCTGAGGGTTGTGGGCCAGAAGCCTCGCATCGAAGGTAAAGCAGGCTGGCACGTGTTAAGCCCATGGTAAATATCAGCTGCTGTCACTGAGGTGACCAGTCCACCCTCTGTGAATGTTTCATGGATGAATGAGAACTACAGACCTGAACAAGGTCGTTTTCCACCCGTACCATCTGCCTGGTCTCCAAGATCAGTAGAAGATATTTGACTGATCCCAGGCAGGTGTCACAAGCCTGTCATTCCAGCACTTAGGAGGCTGAGGCAGGAGGGTCACTGTACATTCGAGGACAGCCTGGGCTACATAGTAAGACCCTGTCTCCAAAATCCAAAGCAAACAAGATAAAATAAAGATGTTTGGCTGAGGAAAGATGATCCGGGAACGTTTATCACACTTGCGAGATGAAGGAAGGAAAAAGATTTATTGTTAGTCCCCTTTGAGAAGAAATGAATGTGTGATTACTTCATTACTAATTTATGAAGAGAAATCAGTTCCTGTATCCAGAAACTTAAAGACAGTGGAATCTCAATCATTTCTTCAGCGAATGATCTTGCTTTTCACCAGAGTTCAAATTGTGTTGTTTGCTCTTGTGGGCTGCTGTAATTCCTGAGTCTTGCCGAGCTGTAACAGGGAAATGATTCCCAACTCACGCTGCTGTTGTGAGGCTGAGCATCTGTACCCTGGAAAGCATTGTGGTAACTGGTGTGCACAAACTTAGCATCTGAATTTGAAATTAATATAGGAGTAACATTGAGCAGCTACATTTCTCCCTGCTACATTCCAGACAGCAAAAAATCAAACCAGTTCTTTCAACTGAGTATGTATTATGAGCCAAACATTTTGTGAATGGCTGAGGAAAAAAAAGTTAAAAGCACAACCACTTGTCAGCTTTTGCCAGGGCTGTAATCTGAGATACTCAGGAGGCTGAAGCAAGAGGATCCTGAGTTTGATGTCAGCCTGGATTAGCAAGATCCTATCTCCAAATAAAAAAATTAAAAAGTCTGGGGCTGGGCTGGGGATTTAGCTCAGTGGTTTCGCTGCCTGCTGTGCAAGCACAAGGACCAGAATTCGATCCTCGGTACCAAAAAAAAAAACCAAAAAAAAAAGAGGCTGGGGCTGTAGCCCAGTGTAGAGGCCCTGACT